GCTAAGTAACTTTTAATTTTCTTCTTGATATTCCCAAAATAGATAATGAAGAGTTCAACGAAATGGAAGTTTTCAAATTGTTATTTTACCATACTCAGTCACTTGTATCCTTTCGTAAAAATTCGGGCTGCTCCGTCAGGTTCAGAGTCTTGAACAAAAAAGAAGCGAAAATTAATAAATTCACTGTTGGTTGCGGTGTGGGTATGTAATAAGTAAACAGTGACACTGAGGGAGTTGGCTTAACATATTCGATTTGATTTACGAGATTTCTAAATTTACTTTTAAATTAATCTCATGAAATTAATTTAAAACCATTGTCCAAAAATATCATTATCAATCGAATTAATTTTTCTATGACATTACCTTCAATAAGTGAACTTAAATTGAACTTCGGTAATCAGAAAACATAATACACCACTTATATTACAATGCACTTAAAATAGGTAATAAATTAAGTCAACATTTTTATGACTTAAATGAGACAACGAGGTTTTCAAATTATGAAGAATGATTAAGCAATTATAAAAGTGTTATTTCGACATAATTTAGATATAAATTGACTAAGTGCATTTTGGTATGGTTTATTAAATAATGAAAAAAGTGACATTAAAATGTTGTCAAAGGGTTATATAAAATTCCATTAAAATCAAATAATGAAAGAATGAAAACATAACTGTCAACAAAAATTAATTAAAGTTCATCAGTAAGGTTGAGTATATTGAAAACTTAAAAGCTGTTTCTAGTTAACAATTTTTAAAAATTATTTACGAACGAACGCCACATAAACTATACAGTTTCTAGTGACTAGCCACTACATTTTACAATTTAAGATATATGTGTACATAGAAGATACAATTGTGACAAATATAAAAATGTATATTAAACATACAAGAATATAATTATAATTTCAATTGATCCTATATTCACATTGATGGACATCACATGTATGACCATGTCTGATGTATATCATTTTATATATCACCCGAACTAAATTAGAAACATCATGGTATCAATTCGTTTTGCATAAATTTATAGTAGCATGTTTTGCGTTTAAATGAATTTAATTTAAAATTAGTATAATATTAATCATTCATAATTTCGTTTGCTTTATGTTCTATATATGAAACAATGTTTTATTTATTCCGTTGCAAAAATCATCCAAAATAAGCTTTTCTCATCCATCTCTGGAAACTCATTTGATGAATGCTAAACACATTTCATTTTACCATGTAAGAAGTAGATTTATCTCCCTTGTGGAATAAATACCGTTTACGTTTTGTGCGAACGTGTTGTAATTTCAAATGCTCCGAGTCGATCTCTTGCAATGAAATGAGTATTAATAGTCTTAAATGACAGATTTGTTGAAATAACTATAAAAAGAAAATGCCTTCCGAGATGCACACTTTTGTATTGAGTGCTCCTTTTGTTTTACTGAAAAACCATAATAATCCAAACTAAAGGAAAGGCGGAACAAGTCTGAGATATGGAGAATACCATGCTAGTGTCTGATATTACAAAATTTATCAGGCAAGGCTAAGAAAAAAAAGAAGGGTGAGCCTGATAAATTTTATAATATTAGACACTTGTTTGGTATTCTATTTATCATGTTTTCAATTTCAATTGTTGTTTGAATTTTTTTATTTTAATTGAAGCAAAACCCTATCCAGAACCTCTCGTGTTCAGACGGCGCGCAATAATATGTGAAATGCCAAATCAAAAAGAAATAGTCCCGAATGTTTTAGTTAATTGTAAGTGACGCGTTCATATTCAAAATTTCTATTCGATTCAAAGTTTATCAGTTAAATATTTCCAACCCAGTAGCAGGAAAATATATTCCATTCTTTTTATTTCATTTCGCAAATTTTGCAAATTTTTGATGAGGTGTCTGATAAAGATTGGGGTGACTGATAAAGCTAGGTTTATCAGGCATGCACTTTATCAACAGAAATCAATGTAATGACATGATAAAAAGTTTTTCAATGGCCTTATTCCACAATTTTAACTTTTGTGTCGTTGCTATTTATTGATGAAGATAACATCAAAGTTAGTTCTGGTCATGAGGTTTGGTATTGTAATTTTCGCTCGCATATTGTTTGCGTGTGCAATCACAATACTATATTATTTAGTCACTTCCGTTGCCAATAAATTAAACACTGCTATAAAGAAATCATTAGCTTGACTTTATGTCCCGGTATACTTTATACGTATCATTTCCTTATAGTTACGGAAAAAAGGAATAAATCAACTCATTATCACATTTTCTACTTGAAATGAAACAATGCCTTCTTTTAGTGAATCTATGGATTCTTCTTTTATGTTTATTAACTACGAAGGCATTGCAAATCCTCATTCTTAATATATTTGATTATAACTATGATAAAATATGGTTAAAACTTCCGGGCAAAATAGAATCTTCCTTGTTCAGCGGCTTTAGATAATGTAAATGTAAAGGGTTTTTTTAATTCCTCTGTCCATATTTGTATTCTGTTACAATACAAGCTATGTTCGGGCTTAAAAGTTTCTTTCTTTAGGAAAATAAGAAACAATTTCGCCTTGCACATTGCTTTGTTTCTTCTATCATGTTTATTCATTATGAACCTTTGTGTTGCGAACCTTTGATCTGTGTGTAGTTGATTATGTGAGTGGTTTATTGCCGTGCTTAAAAATACATTATTAATAAGCGAAGTAAGAAGTTTCTTTATTTATCAACCTGTCGTAATATAAATTTTGAATCAAAAATTTACTTATACCAATTTGTATTCATTTAATATGCAAATGAGGATTTAAATCTTAAAAACATTTCTATTTAAAATCAAATAAAACCAAAACCGATAAAATCTGCATATTAATATTGTTATAATGTCATTGCTCAGCATAATTTGGGTGAAAGATTAACACTTATACATATTAATTAACTTTATATTTAGTAATTAACAAGTGCATGAATACTGTGTTTTGTGAATATGGAAAGATAAAAAGTTTTGTCCTTGATCTAGTCTGTGTAAGTTCCAAAATGGTCTTACTTAATAGGAAATAAATATGATAATTTTTTACAAAATATGCATTTTGACATTATGCCTCAGATAGAAATATTCTTTTCTTCTTTAGATAGGGCAAGCATGAGTTTTGTGATGTTTAAACAATTGTTTTCGAGCATGTAAGAAACTTTTTACATAAAGAAAGAAGTGCTGAAAGTGAAAAATTTTGTCACCAAAGAAGCAAAATTCAAACAACGTATTATTTTGAATTCAATACAAATACTTAATCTTTACAACTCTATTTGAGCCGCGTCATGACAAAACCAACGTAATGCGTTTGCGACAAGCATGGATCCAGACCAGCCTGCGCGTCCGCGCAGTCTGATCAGGATCCATGCTGTTCGTTTACAAACCCTATAACAAGTAGAGAAACTGTTAGCGAACAGCATGGATCCTGATCAGACTGCGCGGATGCGCAGGCTGGCCTGGATCCATGCTGGTCGCAAACCAATTATGTTGGTTTTGTCATGACGCGGCTCATTTATTCCTAGAAAACAAGCATTTCTTAATGGGCCTTAAGGGATACATTTGTACATTATGATTTTACAATAAGATGGTGACCCATGACTGTTTTTGTCGATGCTGATAGTCCACTAGCAAAAATGGGTCATTTAAACTGATTGAGATATTGATATTTTACATGCATGGTAACAGGAATAAAAAAAGTGGAGTGACGTCATGGAGCAAATTAAGGCCAATCTGAGCGAGGGATACGGCCAGGATTACCATGATTTTGAATTCCCTATCCCACCACCCCTACCCGGCAACTCCTTCAAATATTGCTAATTTAAGAAATCTTTCAGATAAGAATCTAAAAACGATACTCCGTGTAATTGTGCTTGATATCAAACGCGTGTGAAAGGCCCAATGGCAACATTTAGAACGAAGAATCTCTATGGCGTCTATAAATAAACGCCTGTTATAGTTATCATCTTTTTTCATCAAAATTGTCACGATAGTTCATGGCATATATTTCTGTGCTTATCAGAGCCGATCAGCCTGAGTGTAACAGAGGTGAAATACCTTGTTTACAATATCTATATGATAATCATTATTGCCCGGGGATCGTTGTTTACATAATTCATCAAATTAAATATCTAATTTTGATTTTGATGAATCTTGGGTGACAATTGTTGAAGATTAATTCTTGTTTACAATTCATGCCCATTGATCAACTTTATTTTATAATGTAAATAAAGTCCTGTATTATTTATGATATGTTCCCGTGACCTAAATGAGAATCTTATGAAATAAACATAATAGGTCTTCTTTATTGGTGTTTTAACTTAAAGATTGTTAGCGGTGTTTAAGCTGTTGGTGTCTATCTTGTTTATCTACAGTTGAAATTTTCTCGTGTTCGTATTACGCTGTATACAGTTAATGTTGTTGTTGTTGTATTTGCTGCTGCTGCTGCTGCTGCTGCTGCTGCTGCTGTTGTTTTCATTATTGATGTTGTTGTTGTTGTTGTTGTTATTATTGTTGTTGTTGTTGTTGTTGTTGTTGTTGTTGTGGTGATGTTTTGTCGTCGTCGTCGTCATCATCATCATTATTGTTATTATTATTATTATTATTATTATTATTATTATTATTATTATCATTATTATTATTATTATTAGTTTACAGAATTGAAACAACAAATATGCCGCAAAAAATGTTCAATCACCCTGTTAAATAAACAATTACTTAGTAATCAAATTAAAAATGATTCATTACTTTAAAAACTTACTTAATATAATATTAGTTTATAGGGTTAACCTTCAACATTTATATTGCCGTTAATGACACTTAATAATAACATAAATGATAAGTATAAAGTATCAATAAATCTAATAAACCTCATAAACTTTCAAAACCTTAACCGTACTGTCCCGTAGTAACAAAACGTAGCCCATACTGTGACCGATTTTGACAGACGAGTAGTTAACGGAGCGGAACACGAAACAAGTTGTATTTTAGACGTGATTGGATATCGATTCTTCAGACCTTACTTTGACACCAGAGAGCCAATAGCTCCTGTAGAAAAAATATATTATTACGTGAAAATTTGTGAAACTTTAGTAAAAAAAGATGAAATCTTTATTAGCCATTGACGCTGCGGAATATAATGCGGCAACAGATAGAGTTAACTCTGCTCTCGAGCTTCTGAGAGATGAAATGGTAAGTGATCCTTTTTTCCCCTAATTATAAAGACACACTTATTACAGTGTAAATGATAAAAGTAGAAAATATACAGCAATGTGACTTGCTTGCTTAGTTTTAAAATATGAATATGCTTAGTTTTAAAATATGAATAATGGATTCGAATTTTGTTTCGAAAAGGAAGAAGAGGTATTTTTTTCTTTTGTTTTTGCTTTTTTTTATTTATTTATTATTTGTTTTTTTATTTTTTGGAGAGGGGGGTATTTCAAACAAAAAACTTATGTAATCTAGTATATCTTATTTTGAATATTATAAGGGCGCAAAACGAAGCACTCAAAATTGTGTTTAAAATGTTTCCGAACTCTGAATTTTAAAGCGTTTAGAAAAATAAAAAATAATGTCATGTAAAAATATATTGATTGAATATCAACAGTTACCATAGAAACTGAAGGTTGCAGGTATGATCGTTATTGATTATATCATCTAGAGATATTGATTATTATTTTAGTTTCTTTGTCATGCCCCATCTTTTATCCGCACATATAGTACACTCTTTTTTCATGCCATTGTGGTAAAAAGAATCGGTATAATCGTTAAATTCAAGAGAGACACCGATTTTTATTTTTTTCAGCACTGCGACATAATTTTGTTGCTCGAAAAATGTTCTCCTTCGAAAATCAAGTTTTAAGTACTATTGTTGAAAAAAATATATTTTTTGCAAAAACCCGAAAGTTTTTTTTTAGAAGGAATCACCTACCGTTAAATATCACGCAAGGTGTATGAAAGTGTTACGTTATATAGAATATTTCCTTCTATAAAGAAAGGAAAGTTTTGTGAATAAGTAAAATTATAAGACTGATTTTTGACATGAATTAGTAAATCAACGACCCATTTCCCTGCACGTGTTTGTCTTATTGTTGATCAAATTCCTAACGCCCTGATTTTACTCTCCCACACCACTATCGTGTTCCCAATGGAACGCAACCTTTTGTTTTATGTATTAAAAGGTTAAACAAAAATAGACTATTAATATTTTTAAATAGCTTAACAATGGAACATTTTTCTTCGCGGAGGTATATTAACACTGTAACAACTTCGGCTCATTGATTTCACTCTTTAAATTGCAATTAAAGTAGGTCTTAATCATGTAAATTTTGTAAGTTTTCTATAGCACTCCTCTGAGTGCGACATATTGTTCATTATGAGTGGTCTTAATCGGGTCTTTGTTCAAAAGTTTATTACTAAACGGTTATAAACTACTTGTTTTATACGACTGCGTTGTTTAAAAGTCCCGTTTCTCTGTTTGAGGTAGATTTTATTGTCCCAAAGTTTACCTTTCGTTTTATTACATTCATTTAAAGTTATTAAAATCAAAAGAAAGATAGTGCACGCCGTACACATAAAACAATAATTGTTTATCATTTATATTTTAAACTACAGAACTAAAATATGATTTACATGTAATTCACATCTTTTTTTTTACCAGAGATGTAGATGTTATCTATGTGTCTGTTTTTGCCATACAATGTTAAAAAAACGAGTCACTAGTATTAACGTTTTTATCTATACTGTCATCTTTCCAACTAAAAGATGCACCAAAGCCACGTGCTTCATCAAAGATCTTTAGTTAGGGTTCAGATTATCTATTCAGATGTCAGTCAAAACATGAACTTATCTGATCTGGTGAAAACAAATATGTCAGATGTGAATCTAAAACAATACTTTAAATATTTTGCAACGTAATTAAAATCATTATCAGATACAAGTTTAATTGATAAGATAATAGTTCATATTCTAAATAGCGTGACATTGTCGGCTTATTAAAGGTAACCTTTAACCTTCTTTTACAATGTATTAAATTTCGCCCATCATTGTTATTGTAAGGTCTCCAAAATGCCCTGTGTATATCTCCCATACGGTATTAAATAAGGATTTTTGTTTAATTCGTTTATTAAACATTGTAAAACTTGCTACTTTAAAGTTCAAATTGGGAGCACTTAATTGTCATTTAAATTTTAATTTTATTAAGTATGGTTATTCCGAGACAGTTTGTTATTATACAGGTGTTAGGTAATCATTGTAAAAAAAAATCTAATTCACATGTTAAGAAAATATTTTAATGATCGCACATTAAAATATTTTGCTTAATAATTTCAAAACTCAATGTCAATGTAACATGAAGAAATGTAGTTGATTTATGATCTGTTAATCTTGTTTTGATCTAAAAGCGTTCCAAATACACTTTTATAACAATTTTCTTTTTATGATTTTTTAACTAAATAAAACGAAATAACAACAGAAAAATTTTACGGTATATTCAGTTGTATACAAACAGTGGAATAAAAATAAATGCAACTATATTAAGATTATATGACACTTTTACTTATGTTTTAAGCATGAAATATAAGTAAATGAAACTTGGGAGAGCATATATTGTTAATGAAAAATTATCTTTCATTATTTTAAGAGGGAAAAAACAAACAATATTTTATCAAACCAGAACTGGATAATGAAATTTACCGCCCATGCCCCCTAGCACCGGCATAAGCAGAATGCAACATGAAGCATGAAAATTGATGAAATTTTAAATTAAAATGTCCGATAGCTTTCATGTCATTTTCTATTAACATACCATATTCTTTTAGATAACTTTTAGAATAATAATAATCTCGTGTTTTAGGGAACTTTCTATATTACTGCGTAAAATTTAACAAAATACAAATACTATTTTCAGAAATCCTTACGTCAACAGGATGTGACGTTGATGCGTCAGTTTATCACAATGAATGACGCCATCAGAAGCATAAGCCAGGACAATAAAGCCGAGAAGAGGCGTGCAAAGCGCATGCGTAACAGATCAATCAACACAGCTTCCCCCCTAAACTCGACGACGCCATCTTGGTCGATTCCCCTTGTTAGACAGCAGAGCGTACCTAGATATTGTGACGTCATACCGGAAGTGCGGGAAAGGACATGGTCTGCTTCAAGTGATGGTATGGTTTTTTTTCAAATTAGAATTATTGTACATGATAATGAAAATAAAATGATATGATAGTAATATCAACATAACAGATAATATATTTATATGTCAGCTGTCAATGTATCTTTTTTGTTTATGATAGGTGATCGAGCTTTAATAATTAACTATTCAATACAAAATAAATGTTGAAGATACAGAAATACTATACAACGTTCCTTATACGGTACGGGAAATCTTAACCAACGAAGACTTATATTTTGAAACAGTTTTAATTTTTATATTTATTTAGATAATAATAATATATGCGTGTATAATCCATTAATATTTCTGTCTCACTTGCACGTGTATATTTTTCTTGTTTCATAGATGAGTCACCAACAGAATCACTCAGCAGTAGCTTGTCTTCCCTCGCCGAAGACAGTTGCGAAAGTGACAGTAGCATGACCTCGGAAGTGCCCGTATTTCGTCCCCCAATGGTCACAAGACAAAGGTCAAGGTCGGCAAAAGTTCCAATTCGTCAACCACTTGACAATGAAAGTAATGTTGAAACAGTTTTAAAAAGCAATGTGAAGCTGTGGAAACTTGCGCAAGCGCAGTCGAATGACGAGAGCAGTGACAGTGACTCCGTGTTTGAAGACAGTGAAGGAGAAAAGGAAGTTAGCACGTGATTTTCTGGCACATGTCGTTAAATTATTAACTGACAAGTGAGAAAATCACGCTATGACATTTAAATGCATTTTTGAGACATATCATACGAAATGGTGCTTTTCTATACGATGTAAGGTTTTGTTTGAGACGAAAGTTATTTATAGATCAGTATCCATTTTTATTGAGAAAGTATAATTATACTGAAAATGTAATGAAATTTCTTTTTTAAACTTATTTTTAATTGAAAAATTCCACCCTTTTTTCAGTAGCATAACACAAATCGTTGAGATAATCTTAGGAGAGACATAAATTGTTCACAATTTAAATTTTTTGTCGAACAGATTTCTATTTTTCTAAAAACAATCACAACATTTTATTTATAAATTTTATATAAACACCAATACGATAAGAAAATTATTAAAGCGACCAGTAGCGCACCGTCATACGTTTTAACGCTGACAAGCCCTAAACTTGTCATAGACCGTACGTTAACTAATACATAAAATATCATTCATAAATGTAATGTGTAAATGCTTCATGCAAATGGACCTCCTTTCTTCCAACGAATCAAAAGAATTAATTAAAAATCATAATTTGAAAAGCTTGCTTGAATTGAGGCAAACGCATATGTTACACCCATACAAATACTATAAACTATTTTTCTATCTATGTATAAACTATATTTTTTATCATCATTTTTTTGAAGGAAACCAGCCCCGAATAAATGCTGTTAAAGGTCCTTGCATGTGTGTATGATAAGTTTGAATATGTAGCTTTGTATATGTTTTACAACATATTTGTTAAATTGTTATTTAAAGATATTTTTAAAGCTCCCAGACATAACATCTGTCATGTGATAAATTCAACTTCATGATTGTATTTTCAAATATGCAGGCGTGGAAAATTCGCGAAAAACCCTGAGCTTTTCTATAAGAAAAGCGATTTTAGGAATTACGAATATAAAAGCATATTCAATTTTTGGCATAAATACAAAAACAACAACCATACTAGTAAAACAATTGTCATGTATAACAGTAGTATATTATTTATAAGTGGGAAGACTGTATTTTCAAAACCACATCATCGATGGAAAATGTTCTTTCACTTGCATAATACACGTAATTGTTGAAGGGCATATTTTCGTGTTACAAAAAGGTAGAAAAAATACTTGATGAAATGTTTAAACAATAACTTTTACATTATCTTCTCAATCTATGATGTTATGTCTGTGGGAAACTATCATATTTTTGGCATAGTACTGGTACAAATATTTCATTGATTTTAACTACAATGGTGTAGATTCTTATCGAATGTTCTTGATCGAGATTATGATCTTTCAACGACATGCTTATAGAATGAAGGAAATCAGCGCGCCTTATCATTTAGTGTACTTTGACCATCAACTAATTACTTGTTTACTTCATTACCTTGTCATTTAGCAGACGACAGAACATCAAGGATAGAGTATCTATCTATTGCACGAGAAATCAATGGAATAGTATCAGATTTTAGGCCCATTTTAGAATGTCTTAAGGGTTTTAAATGAAGACATTGTTATCGTGTTTCTTTATGTTGTTTTTTTATCTCGTGTGAGTCGGCGCCTGAGAGAATACTATTTGTAAATGTCATTTTATTGTTTAAATATATATTGTATTTTAATCTGCGACAAGCTTCAAACAGTCTGAAGTTCTTATTGCCTATTATTCAAATAATAGATTCAACTTTTCTAAAGACATTTTCAAATACATATTGAAAACGTCTTTTTATGAAGTAGACCTATTTTTGGATAAATCATTGTTTCTTGATTGTGTCTTCATTAAAAACCCGCCTTTTTATTAAAACAAAGAAAAAACACATGAAATAATTAAAACTGCGAAAAAATAAACAAATCAGTTTAAATAATAGACGTTTTGTTCTTTTTTATACCTTTAAAATATATGTATGTGGGATCTAAGTACGTAAAATGTCGTACTATGTAAAGTGATATGTGTTTACGGTGTCCAAGTGAATGAGCTAATTATTCTATTGTTAATGCTTCAAATATTCTTATTTTACTGTGTCTGTCAATCATTATTCGATTTATCTTGTTTTAGTGCCAGAACTGAACAATTAATTAAAATCTAACCGTCTGTATGGAATTTAAAAAAAAAACAGTTAAATTGTAAAAAGGGCTAGTAAAAACTCTTGCCAATTATGTTTAAATTATACTTTGTAGATATTAGTCTCTAAATATTGCACTTTCTGGTATAACGATAAACGTTGGTAAGAAACATCTAAATACCAACTAAAAATTCACATCCAAATCAATTCGTGAAAACTTGATAACTAGTTATACAGTCGATTGTAACTGAAGTCCATGGTTAGGACTCTACGTCAACAACTCCCTGCTTAAGCTTAACATAGTGAATATTTGAGCTAACGGACACAATACCTTGCATCAGAGATTGTTGACCTATGACTTCCAAGTGTGACGTTTACCTGGTTGTTTGGTATGGCAGTTTGTCCGATTATTGTGCACATTTGTGATATTTTTTTTCAATATCACTTGATGGATGTAAAAGTTATGAACCGGATACGAAATAGAAATTCTATCATCAGGCAATGTTAACTTTAGATCTGGTTGTATCGCAACATACGTTGTCTTATTATGATTAACTTTTGTGCCAAACCCTTGTTGGACCGGATAAAAAGTGTGACAGACTGACGGAAGGGCAGACAGATATACATACGGACAGACAAACAGGAAGACGAACATACCCCATTTTTTCTATTTGAAAAATTGGGGTACAATAAAGTTTATCTAAAAAGAGAAACAACACTGGAAACGCTTGGTATAAAATAACATTCTGCACGAATGGATAAAATATTGAAAATAGAAACATTTTGATCTTTGATTATGTTTAATTACATTCACGATATCTAAGAAAATAAAAATTTTGATAAATGATGATAATAAATTGTTCTTATATTGCCACTTTGTCCTTAAGTAACATTTACATGCTTGAACTGGCTTCTCATAAAATAGCAAAATAAACATAACTTAGAATTAAGCAGATTCATTGTGATCTTCTCAATTTTTATTGAAAAGCGCCGGGTCGGGTTTACCCTTTATTTTCGCATTGTGTTATCAATTTAAACATTATATGTATGTTGCCATCTGATGTTTCTAAGCTTTAATTCCATAAGTAAACAAATATTTTGGTATTATATTTCATACATGTATTCATTTGCTACTAGTACAATAAACAAAGTTTGTATTAAAACTAAAGTTTACGCTATTAATGCTGCCTTCGAACACAATTTTGTTAATTTTAAGTTTAAAAGATTAGATATGTTTATTGCTATATTTATGACACTTCGTAGAAACAATAGTTCACACATTAATGATCAAGACTCTTTAGATTCATATTATCAATATTCTGTGCTCAGTTCAAATTACCTCATAACATAAACGTGTTTTCTATCTATTTACCGTAAATTACTTACTTAACCTTATAAATTTGTTAAAGATTTTCTTCTGTAAGGACTAGGTGCTGCTGACAGATGAATGTTTCCTTTACTTAATACAGCAACACCACCAACATCATTTTGGCTTGAACCTTCACTTAATTTTGTGTCATTTGTTTTTCTTAACTTTGCGATAGTTTTGTTATGATCAAGAACATTCCGGAAACCAGACGTGAACACTGTGACTCCGCCCCCTATGATAGTCAGGGAGACGCCGGCAATAGCTATCATCAGATATAATGGAACACATAGGTCTGTCTCGGTTTCTTCTTCTCTTACAGTTGTTATTTCTTCTCCTAAAACGACAAAATAATGATAATATCTTTAAAACGAGAAGTATCTTTGACGAGGTAAAACTTTTTTTACTTGCATAGGTTATTTTGGAGTTTTGAAATACCAATTAATTTTTAGATCTAGATAATACTGGACGGTATATTTCTAAATGGAACTGACGTGTTTCCGTAAGTGTACCTTACACTTAAGTATTCATGTACACATTAATATATGTTTTTTATTCTTATGTTAAATAAGATATTCACTATGTAATTAATGGCAATTTTAACAGAAGTGCAAATTGTTTATTTGGAGGAAGTTCACAAATCTCAAATATCAGAGAAATTTAACCAGAAAGTTTGTTACCGATAACCCTTTAGTTTATTTTATTATTTGGATGTGAATACGTTTCAGAAAGATCCTTTAGATGTTAATACTAATTTTAGAATGACCAATGAGATTCCCTGATTTAAAGATGACCAATGAAATTCATAGTAATATTTAGTTGTTTCCTGTAAATTTTATAAGAAGTCAAACCGTTCTCAGACAGACTTCGTCCGAAAAAAGAACGATAAGAGGCACAATGGAAAAAAAATTCTCTTTTGAAATGTGTCCATAAAGCCATGCATAAAGTGAACAACTTTTGTAAGACAAATAGATATTGATCTATGCAGAAACATCATGTCAATAGAAGATAAACATTAAGGATTTATGGTTTTATAAAAAAAAAGAAACTTAAGAGACTTACATGTATCACTTAAGGCTGGAATATACTGCTTTAAACTGTATGAATACCAATTACCATAGTATGACATAATACAAGTAAATGATATATTTATATTGAAGCATACCGTCTGCTAACGCTATAACTTTATATCCCCGGATGATGTTTGGAATATCTACGTCATCATCTATAGTCTCATCGTCATCAGCATCACGCTTTCTTCGTCTTCTGGTGTCGTTTGTCAAAGACGAACAGTTCTTCTGAAAAAAAATAGTTCTAAATGACAGACAGAAACAGTAAAACAAAACTTTTTCAGATACAGTACTTGATGTAAGTATCTTTCAAATTGGTATAGCTTTTATAAAAACTAGTAAAATATCTCTCATCATAGAATTATGCAAACGAATATGTTCTATACACGGTATAAAAGAACACTAACTTGTTAGCTTGTACTTTTTACACGAAAAGAAGGTACGGACAAGTCAATATTTTTTCAATGTTCTTGAGAATTCAACTAAACGATGCAAACAAATAATCCAACGTTAATGTTATTACCATAATGTTTGCATACTAAAACTTCTTTCATAGCAAGAATGATGTCATAAGTAAAAATAGCCAGAAGTTACCTCCTGACAATTCCACATGCAGACCTTCAAAATGCAGGTAAATACAACTTCAGTCGGTCCTCCAGCAATGTTTGTTGGTCGAAACATGCCGAATGTGTTAACTAAATAGCCATGGGCAGTTGAATTAAAGAGTCCGAACAAATTCTCATCTACAGGACAGTGATCTTCTAGCAGGATAATACCAGATGCATAACAAGCTTTGGCACTGATGTCAAAATAATCTAGAAAACAGAAATAATCATTTCTTCAATTATTATTGAGCAATAAGATAAAAAATGTTCTTTTTTCAAATTACTTTTCAGTACATTTGTAATGTTCGTTTGGATATTGAAGATGGCCGAGAAGAGATTATATTTAATGTAAAAATAACCTTGGTTTTAGCATGCAAACTGTTTAAAAGAAATCCTATATAAATTACAGCGGGTTAAGGTTTTGTTTTTGGATTCAGAAAATCGGTTCTTTTTCTAATTCAGTATTTTATCTTTTTTTAATTGAGCACATAATACTGTCAAAAGGGAATACATTTAAATTATAAACTTCATGTAAATTGCGTTTGACTCGGTGATGTTATGACGTAATTTCCTGTTACCGTTTACATTGTTGGTTACAGTCATGATCATGGTAAGCTCGTCACCAAGTTTGACTGCACTTCCGCTGTCAAGACGCGCACCTCCATTGTAAAGCATCAAAGACACTTCCGGTTTGTACTTCACTAACGTAAAATTACTGTCCTCATTCCTAAAGAGAAACAACAGCAATTCTATTTTAATCAATAAAAGTTTAAAATACATGTAAGTTTCCCGTTTCTTATTGACATTCAGAATATTTACCATTAGGGTCGAGTAATATACGGTGCTCTTCTGGACCAATATTATAGCGGAACACCACCAAAGTATTTTAAATATGTTTATAGTTGAAGGAACAAAAATGTTCTGGACACTAACTACCTTGGATAATGCTATAGAACTTTTTGGAGCAATTAGGAATAAACAAAATAAACGCTAGAGCTAATTAAAACCTAATGCGTATAATACAAAAGTTGTTCACGTGACGCCTGGCAGTAAAGATACATTTCGAAAGAAACCTTTTTCTTGTAGCATGTTAGTGTCCTTTTTAATTAAAGGCAATTTCATTATTTATCTTGTTATAAAGGATATATAACTGAAAGAGAAGAAGTAACCGAGACCTTTTGTTTTTGTTGTTTAATTTGAAGATGTCTGATATTTTTGTTAACAATATACTCATTTTTTTTGTTTTACGTATATCAGTGATGATTAATTTTGGTTCTTATATATGCTTATATAATATTTCCGTTCTATTGTATCTTATTTTTTTTATTTAAATGATCGGTAGTCTAACTTTGGAGTGTCTACCATCGGTCATCTGAAGAAAAAATGTCTGATAAGAATAGGAAATATCATACCCTAGAAAGTCTATATCCAGCGGCTGAATGGCACCAAAGTCTGTGTTACATATAAACCAAATAATGACGTCATGATGTGTTTGAATATAAACATATCTCTGAACAACAACATGGAATTTCTCATCCTGAAATTCAGAATGTAGGTCCGACAGTATGAAACGAGGATTTATTGAAATCGGACTGGTTTGTATTTAGATGCAGGATTAGCGTTTTTATGTAACCTTTGTGGCATTCTTTGTCAAAAAGCCTTATATCTTAATTGTTAATTGAAATATAATTTATATGAAAAAATTTTGAATTACATATGTCCTGACTATTCTATTTAACTGTTGATTATGAATTTATGTACAAACTCACTCAAACCGAGTCTGCAATGTTCATGTAATTTTGTTGTGATTTATCCTTCCGAATTTAAAAAATGCTAACGTTAAAAGCTTTAGTTTTAAAAAGCAAATCTAGATATGTTTGCGGAAATTTTCTCCACAAAATTGAAATAAAAGGGAAAATGGTGTCGTCAGTTTGACCAGTGTAATTATATACTGTATATTACGAAGATATGTGTATTAACATACCCAGTTTATGTTACATTCTTCGAATTTACACTCATGTACTAGCGTTCCACCTGTCGTCTGCACGAGATTGTATGCTGTGTCTGTCCGGAAGTAAGCGATCCCGCCTTCCGGCGTGTTCTCTATCTTCACCGTAACAGTATTATGTATACATGATGTCAAATTGACTAGAATATAATATTATAATAGTATATACTTAACAAATGAATTGAGTCTTAGAGTTAATTAAAAGTTAAAAGCTTCGATACTTTTTGGGTGCCTTAATTTTTTTTGTGAGTTTGGGGCGTACTTTATTTTTGGTATACAAATACCTTGTTTCTTAATTTATAACTTTTAATCATTTTCACTAGTGTTGACTTATAAAGATCAAACATGAGCTGTTTATATTGTTTTATGTCATGCATGCACACTTGTTATACGTATATTAAAATTATAATGTCTGAAAAGGCCAATGGTTGGAAAGTAAAAAATATTCTATTTAATTCTTTTAATGTATGTATTCATTTATTCAATAACATTTATGTACTTGTAGATTCTATGTTTTTAACTTGAGTATGTTTTAAACACATTAAAAAAAATACCTTTACCTGTAGGTAATGTATATCCATATACAACATTGGAATAAATAAACATAAAACAAATAAAAGAGATCATCTTTCCAGGCCGTTCTTGCTCCACCAAACAAAATTTCTCATTTCAAAAAATCTTATAATGATACTAAAATCCGATAAAATACTGCATTTTACATCATTAGTTGCTTATTATATAATAATCATCTTCTGTTTTTCTTGTTATTTCATGTCAATCTTAAGATTGTATGCATATTCAAGCAATTTTTAGTTATATCTCTACAAATTTTCTCATTAAAAATTGCACATTTTAGCTAGTATTACCACTTAACGTTCACGTTTACATACAACGTCTCAATGAAATTCCAAAATGCAAATTAAGTTCCATCATATTACTGTGGATTTCTAGATATTATCTAAAAAGCACCACAGTGAACAACAACCTGTGTACAACAATGCGCATCTGACCATATATTTTACAAGTCAGAAGATCTTACAGGTTGAATGGGGATGTTATTCTGTGAACTTGCGTGTAACATACTTATTTCCTTAAAGTAATAGGTCATCTACTAATTTATTTCTTAGTTAATTAGATAAAAGTGGTAAAACAATTATGTGGTACGTGTGTAGATATTGTCAATATGAGGTCTTTGAACCTATTATTGTCCTCTCCATTATTATTGTCCATTATCAGGATCTTGCCGGCCATTATTCAGCATAATTATGCACAAAAACAATGCACTAAATAACCCTCTCTAGATGTAATAAAAGTATGCTAATAAATTATGCATTATGAATGAGGAATTTAAACAAATTTATTCCACCAAAGTAACTATATCCATGTATTTTCTGCAAATTCGATTGACACTGTCGTAGTCATTTACTTTGTAATCAGGGACATAAATACGTAAAATATATTGTTCCTAGTGTAATAGAGACACAAACATTTTGGAGAGGGGAGATTGTTCGACATCAGTGTCAACAAAAGTGAAAATGCAAATACCAGACTCTGATTAAGGCTCTCGACGTCCCCATCCCCCCACGTCACCTGCTTTAAGCCGTATTAAATCTTCTATTTGAAGTATCAGAATCAATTATTCTGAAGGGCTTGAATAATAAAATAACAGTAAGAATCATAATAGTTCGCTTATTAAGACGTAAATGTTATTACATGATCACTGTCGTAACTAATAGAGAAATTTAAACAGATAAATAGATTTTTGTCAGTAGACTTAAAATTTCTTTTATTTTTAGCTGATTTTAAAGGTTCAAATTAACAGCTATTAAGCATACAAGAATAATGCATATACATGGATTATGTGATACATGTACCAAGGATCATATCAATAATCGATTGAGATACAAGCTCTACAGAGCGATACCCTTTGGTAAGCAAGTAGGTTGGTTGTTACATTCAGGTGTCGCTCTAGTGAGGTTAAATTTATAGTAAAGTCTTGTTTTGGGAATAAGGTAAACTCTTGATGTAAAGAGGGTCGCTCAGCGGAGTTTGCACTATGACATTTTTTCATTTTTGTAGGTTTTTATGATTCTATGGGGATACGTGAAACTGTTGTTCGACAGAGGGCGGATTTGTGGAGGTTGACCTATTAAGTTGTTAATGGCAATTACATCATTTTCGTAATGTTTTTATGAGTACAGTTAATAACGTTCGCTCGAACTCGGAGGGCCCGTGCAAATTTGTTCGAGAGATCGGTAGTTCGAGCCAACCGCGGTTGAACTATTATCACCTAGGACATAGGCCTACAGGTTTTTTCAGCTTACATCGTCGAATAATTAATACGTCAACATAATTGTTTGACTGTATATCAGTTCGTCAAATACGTCATTTCTTGTAAATATTTAGAAAATGCCATTCAGTTGGTGAGATTTATTTTATATAAATCAGTCATATTATATATTATGTACTTTAAAAATATATTCTAGCGAAATGTTCGATTAAAAATACAATCATATTTTTCAAAAAATCTGAGACTGCAATGTTTCTTATAAGTATATTCATATTTTATTTTCAGCGAAGAAATTGAATAATTAATGTTAAATTTTTACAACACAATGTTTTTTTTTCTAAACTATCTGTATCTGGAAAACTGAACTGAGCAATCGGTCTTGGAACACTAAATAATAAATCAATCAGGGACACATACATATATATTATAATCGAAAATGACACCCACATACATGTATATAACACGCGGTCTATCAGTATTAAGTGTATAAACTAGAAAAACTAGACTTTTATACATGCTTAATGCCTCATTTTATAACACTGATTGAAAAATACTTTAGTTTAAACATATTTTATTCATAATCATATAAAGTACATAATATACATTCATTCAATATATACAATGTTGAAATCGATTAGAAAAAAAAAGAGATGAAATCTTTTAAAGTTCTTCTCCGACTCTATTTTAAATTTACAACAAAATGATGGCATCAATCTACTGAGACAATGTGTATGAACTCATATAATATGTTAGAAAAAAACCTGAAGGACACATACATATTCAAACATATATAATAAATGTTAAGATATGTTATACTTATATGAAAAATACTTGAATTGGAAAAGATGTTCAACAAAATTGTTAAACTATTTCTTATGCATTATAATTGTTCTCTTTTATGGTATGCTTTATACTGCGATTTAATAATCAAGATTTTCTGACTCGAGTGTGTATCAAAAGACTCTCTGTAATAAGCGAAAAATAAATAGGATTTGAATTTGAAATGACTTGACGCTTTGTACAAATGTATATGTTTTAGTTAATATCATCGTAAAATATAAATATTATATTTTCATGGCGTTTGTAAAAACACCTATTTTGAAAGCAAAACAAATGTTCTATGTGTAATGCTATATCTAATGAAATACTTCTATAAATTAAATTTCTTACATTGTAAAAATTATGTTGTTGCCATAATCGTATGATCGATTCTGAAAAGAAATGTTTCTGTCATTTATGACACAGGAATAATGTACATAAAAGTTCAGGACCAAAATAGTTTGCTGCTAATTTAAGTAGGGTTTTAACCGTTTAGCAATGGCATGCATCATTTGTTCTTAAGGAAATAAACAAAAATATTTTTTCATACAGGTGTTTAACAATTATTCTGTTTCAAAAATAATACAACAATAATTCTAGACAAAATATTGCTTTATACTTGTTAGTTTTACGAGGAATATAAATGATTCAGTCCTATGTGTATGAGACCGATTTATGCTCTGGTGATGATGTTATTCCAGCAATCGGTATACTTTTACGTCTATAAGGCCTTTGATTATCAGTTCGAGCCTGTAATTGTGCTTTCAGTTCCTGCATATATTTATCCTGTTTAGACATTTCACAACAACTAGTATGCATCCGGTTCGTGTCGCTATCTTTTCGGCCATCATCGTTTTCAGTTATTTCAGAATTTTCCAATGCGACGTTGCAAACATTTTGCTCATCTATAGGTTCTTCAGACACTGATTTAGGTTCAGTGAAAACCTTTTTGTCGTCCCCATCTTTTTGCTCTTCATCACAAGAATAGTTTTCGTATAGTTGCAATAGTAATTGTAGCTTATAGAAGTTATGGCGCTGCTTGACCCGACAACAAAGACAAACATACCAGCTAAAGTTGCTATAACTGATACTGGTACACAAAGATCATCAGAACTTGGCTTCTCATTTTTAACCTCTATCTCCTCACCTTGAATATAGGAATAAAATATAGAATGATTATTATCGGAAATAACTTCTTTATACATTAATGATGCATATATACAACTGCAAAACCGTATATTTCAGTTTAACTATATATAAATGTTAGGTCATTGTCTCCAGAGCACCAAGTGTTCTCTATATACGTCCATCTAGGACATAGAAACGTTAATCTATGTTCACATAAAATATATTTTGTATTACCTTCTGCTACAGCTGTCAACGTGAAGCCTCTGACGACAGAAGGATTGGATTGTCCATCCGCAGGCCTTACATCAGCATTTCTCTTTTTTCTTCTGATGCTTGAACTTGATGTTTCCCCAGAAGAACAATCATACTGAAACAATATATATTAATAAATGACATAATTTAGGATATATATAGAGTGGTAATACTTTTGTTAAACAAATTTGTCTGTCTATATCTGCAAAAGAAGCCGTTAATCAAGCTGAATTGCCGGTTACAAGTACAGAACCTATCAGTGGCAATATAAGAGAAGAACAGGGTTCAACATCGGGCATCTCCTTGTACCGAATATACACTGTCTTGCCCTCGTTAGTATTTTGATGACATATTAAACTGAATAGCATTCTATTCTTGATGGAAAGAGGAAGCACCCATTTTTATATGATAAATATAAACAAAAAGGATTATACAAAAATTCTACCTAATATAGGAGTGGTTTAATGTTTTTCTCTCTGTCCAATGGCTTAAACGTAAGTCATATATGTATAACTAATGAATATATTTGTTCTACATATCTAAGTTCTGGCAAGCATAACTGCTCAGTTCATAGTATAATTCAATCAACACTAACGCTACAGTAATAGCATTATTGTAAATCTAATGTTAACAATATAATTATATAGTAACTGCACAAGTATCACGCAGGAACAGAATTTTCCATGAATTGTCCTCTTAAAACTCTGAAAAATGCTATAACAGGGGGTCGAAATACTTTGACGAATTAATAAGCAGCATGATTCCTTTTGTAATGAAAAGCATGCAGCTTTCCTCCAACAATACCGGATTTTTGTGCAGAACCAATATTTTTGGTCATAGTAAAATTGAACACGCGGCATCTGAACTAAGAATCAGAAGTATTCACCACTACCTTCCTGTCCTGATTCATATATAATGATATGAGAAATTTCCCGCAAAACCGCATATATAAAAAAATGAGTATAAAGATCAATAAAGACAAGACGACGTTCTCAGAACGCAGTCCCGGTTTTTTAATACTTGATGACATATTATGTTTTATTTGCCCTGGAATGCATTTTACAATATACATCCGTTACCTACCTCATCACAGTTCCACAAACACACCTCCAATATACACGTGAACACAACTTCATATGGTCCACCTGAAATACTAGTAGGTCGAAACATGCTAAATGTGTTGCTCAAATATCCGACGGCAGTGGCATTAAAAACATTAAATAGATCGTCACTGACGGGACATCTGTCTTCTATAAGTGTAATGCCAGAAGCAAAACATGATTTAGCGCTGATGTCAAAATAATCTAAAATGAAAAAATTAAATAAAGTTTTTTCTTGATTTAAACATGTTATTTGTACCCTTAAGGAGTAATGGTGTAATAAATCTAAACCAGGCATATAACATTGTTCAATAAATAGTATATCTTTTTATGAAGGTTTTTTTTTTTAAGTAGATAACATATCTGAACAATTTTACACAGTCGCCTTTCAACCTTTACAGTGTGTTACTCAAACAAAAATTAACCACCGTTCATGTGATATAACCCTAGGATGGAATCCATGACAATTAGCAAATTCCATAGATCCGGATATTCACCGAAATATTTATACAATAACTGTTTTTAATTAATACCCTTAACAATAATAAGAATTGCATTTCTCAAATCTATCTTGCGACTTTAGTCCAGCAGATTTTTATTGCTATTGGTATAAGTATTACTAAGATATATCGATGTTATATTTTAGGACATGAAAGTATTGTTGTTATTGTTCTATGTAATGTTTGTCTTATATTATCATACCATTAGCATTATTTGTAACTCTTATTATCATTTGTATGTTATCTCCAAGTTTTACTTCCGCTCTACTATCCAATCTTATATCTTCTTTATAAAATGACATTGCCACTTCCGGTTTGTACGTTTTTGTTGTCAGATTTTCAACAACCTGAAAAGAACTAAATGCACAAAAGAGACAATAAATAATAATTTCCAATATAAATTATAATCATTTCACTTAACTTATTAAAATAAATACATGTACATGAAATATTAACACGGGTGCTTCTTATATGTGTCAATTACTTATTTAGGAATTTCATGTTGAGATAAATTATTTCAAAAGTTTTCTACGGCTGAGATTTTATTTTCAATAAGATGGACAATATGTTAAACTATGAATGTGGACATTGACCATCATGTAATTGTGCTTGTATCATAGTTTGAGGACCTTTCTGATGAAAATGTGTCAGAGTTAAATCGTATACATATATATGCACAGTGCGTTAACTGGAGTGCAGGTATTAGTTACCCGAACTCCAGAGCATGCCCACTGATTGGCTCATTTTATCTGGGGTTTACTTATTGTAGCGACAGAGAAGGGGAAAGCGGTTGAAATATTATATTCAGATGCTCGTTCGTTGGTTTCTTTTTTTTCTTGTGTTTTATATTGTGACAGCAATGTACGTGTTTTTATGTTTGACTATGATACAAAAGAGAAAAAACATCAAAACACTCGGAAAACTGATTAATACTCAGGGGCTACGCCCCCTCGTACAAATCGGATAGCCTCGTGTTTCGAAGTCTATTCCTCTACAAAATACGTCAGACTAACGAATTAAGCATTTTCTCGTGACAAAGTGTAACACAAAATATCAAACATTTCGGCATGGTATATTTTAAGATAATTACCTGAACTCAAATTTGATTGCATTGATAGAGTTGGAATCAGACGTACATACCAACCAGACTACAGAATCTTCACTTGTTTGATATATGATAGTTTTCTGAATCACAATATAGAACTTCTCGTTCTGGAAGAAATAAGTTTTAATGTTGGTTTTTTAAGAATTGCTATGATCGAAAAAAATACATACATAGAGGAAATTCAATTTTGTGAGTTTTTTTCTATAACTAGGAAGTTTATTCAAAAAGTGGTATGAAAATAAGTATTATTTTACGGTCATTTTCATACCACGAGATAAAAGTAGATCCCGCTTTTTTAGAGAAGAAAAACTTGAATTTTCTGTTTATCGTAATTGTATGATTTTACTTTTCTCTCTCTTTTGACATCAAAATTCGAAAGAATTGCACTTTAGATGTGTGTGTTGGCTGTGTTCAAAAGAAAGTAGTCCGGCCAGACATCATTAAAAAACGGACAATATGTTCCAATGCAATGGAAAAAATACAGCTGAATTACAGAACAGAAAATATGCATTTTATTTTATCAATATTTCTCAATATTTCATTTATGGGTAAATAAACATGTAATAAATACATTCTCTTGATATACAAAGCGAAGTTGATGACACATATCAACATTTTTTTTCTTTTAAAAGTCACCAGAGGCTTGGTTTATAGTGGTTACACTTTCTTACCCATTGTATGTTACATTCGTCAAATGCGCATGCGTGGACGACAGTGCCACCTGGTGTCGTAATCATGTTGTAAGCAGTATCTGTCCTAAAAAACAAAATGAAGCCTTCTTCCACGTCTGTTACAGTAACTGTCGCTGTGTTAGCCTTACATGATGTCAAGGTTACTGTAAAAGTAAAGCTGAATAATTTCTAGACAACCGATTTTTTTTTATCTGGCAGAAACGTGACGTCAACACCTACCTAGAGGCTTGTAACATATTGTGGAGGACACCAACGTTTTATTAATGAGTCTATTGCCATAGGAATATAGGTAAACGTGTCCTTAAAATGATCAGGACTGTATATTTTTTGACTGAAAAATTAAGTACCGATATTATAGGTGTCAATCTAAAATGTGCACACGTAATTTGCGCGGAATGTTTAAATAAAATGTTTGAGCTTTTTAGGAAAACTTTTGGGCCTTAATTTGCTGAATTTATTCAAAGGAGTTTCTTTGCTTTGAATCTGAAACAGTAAATCCAAAGTTTAAAGGGACTCCACTGTGGTTTAAAAGCCCAAAAACATAACATTTGAATTTCTTTAATACATGAGCTGTGGCACTTTAAACAGAAATACATGTATATACAAAGGTAGTTAAGAAATATACTTTGAAATAAATTGAAAATCGTATTTTATGCTTTTCTTAGCCCGATCTGAGTGAAAAATGTTTAAACGCTTTTCATTTTCGTTCATTTTTTTACAATTTGAATAATTATTCTGGAAACACGAAGCGCGCGATTAGTGGTTAGTGGTCTAAACCTACATCAAATGATTCATTTATCTGGAAAAAAAATATTTTCAGTCCCATCATGTCAAAAAACCTCAGTGGAGTCCCTTTAAGATATTTTTATATGAATTGCTAACAGTATAGAGCCTTGTCAGACGGCACACATGTGGTAGCTGGCTGGCTGGTTGGCTGGCCAGACCTGACTCTGATACTGGAAGCAAATGCTAGTTACGTTCGGTTTCATTACTATAAAAACGTTCAAACTTTGCAATACCCTAGTATAATCAATGCCGTTAATATCTATAAGAAAAAAGAAGTGTATCATTATCTGGATATATACTAAGAGAATAGTTGACAGTGCTCTTGGTTTGAAGTCGACTGATATAGCAAAGAACAAATTTATTGTATTAATTCAGTTAAAAATCAGATATTATCGAAACTTTTATAATTATTATGCTTAAAATATAAACTGTTTTTCCCATAATTAAGCAGTTTGTCGTTTAGTTTAAACAATGTGAAGGTAAATAAAAATAGTTCTCACAAATATGTTGACATTAACACTATGTATTCCATATCATCGTAGATGATTTAATTATTTCTTTAAAGGAAATAGATTTGATTTCAAGTTTAAATTTTTGAAATATTTACCTGAAGGAGCAGTATATCCTGGCGTGTTGAATATAAAATAGAAAACAAGAAATAACAAAGTATTCATCTTCGAATGATGCCAGTTAATTATTCAAGGGAATCAACTATATTTGATAATAATCCATCAAGCTGCATAGTATTTTGCACACCAAATATGTTCTTGGTAAAAACTTTAGAGCTATACTCTTTTGATAGTCACATAGAATATTTAACTATGTAAGAACCATTTTGTTTCTTACTGAATTGGTTTCAACAGAAATCAATTTATAAGAAGGTAATTTCTTAATTTGTTTACGTGATTGAACTATTGTGCGGGAGAAAAATTAATATATTAACTAATATAGTTATCATAATTGATTATGCCTTAGTGTAATGTTTAAATTAATCAGTTGCTAGGTCAGTGCGTGTTAAATCACATAAAGATTCTATTCTACATGAACCTAATTCAATGCTAATGTTTTGCCAAAGGAGACCAGGAATATTTATTTAGTAAACCTTAAAATTTCATGAAGACTTTTACAGTAAAACATTACATGCCTAGCAAAATAATTTCCTTGAATAACTAAAAAAACATTTCGACTGAATGAATAGAAAGATATCTAATTCTTGGTGCGCTACAAAGTTTTTCTTGTACATGTTTTACTGAATGACCAGCATATGCCAAGTTTTCACCAAGCGGATATGTAAGTACAGTAATATTAATGATCTTTGCTTTTGTCCAAATCAGCATCACCAATATTGCTATAAAAACAGAAATACAGTTACAAAACATAATGTAAAATTATATATATATACATATATATATAATTATATATATGGTACATATATATGCGTTTGTAATTTTGACAAACGACTAGTGTCTCACATATAGGACATGGTTAGAAACCATTGTAACATGTGTACTTGGTTATTGTCTACTAAGCATTCGCTTTTGTGTTTTTTTGTCCGTGAAATCATCAAGGTAATGCTTCCTGGCTTGACAAATGGTCCCCGGCTTTGCGACACGTGGAAAGTTCATGCCTAAAAACTCGCTCAGTGGTGACAGGTGGGCCAACAAACAAATATATAAATATGATGTTTCAGTAATGAGCTTTAGTTGAAATTGAACTTTTTTGGTAGTGACTTAAACCCTTTATAATGTAAGTATATATTAATACATACTAATATTAAATTGATATTTTTAAATAATTGTCATACATTGTTTTATTATTATAAACAATGTAAAACATACACAACTACCCAACTGAGAAACAGTAAGTGCGAATTAAGTTTTTTTTTTTGTTTTGCTGTAATATATTATAACTTCTACATTGTTCGCCTTCACTGATGTTTTATGACATGACGGGAATTGAGTTAATTGTCGAGATTTCATTTGCCATTCGATGCAGGTCTGGACCAGTAACTTGTACAAAACTTCAAATCATTCGCACAACTCGTTTTCAAGAATAATTATTTTAATTGTGAAAATCAGCGCTACGAATAGAACAGAAAAACAGAAAAAGAACGAATTTCCAATCGAATACTGAATATATTCCTTTATTAATTTCTGTATATCTTTCCGATGTAGGAGACCAGTTTGATATGATGTAAGCTATTCAAATTTATGTCTTACGCTTTTTGTCTTGAGTAAAGTCAAAGGACATTTGTTTTGCGTTGTTTTCCAATGAAAATGATTGTATAAATATATACTTATAACTTGTTTAATAACGTTAATGTAAATGATTTATTTTTTCAGTTAACACAATGAGGTGCATAATCATGATTGAAATCTTTGCGGCAGCTCTTGTTTGTGAGTTGTTTCAAATATATTACTAATAAAACTTTTCCATTTCATACCGACTTGCAATGATTTTTGACTCCTTTACAAATTTTCTCTGTCAAAATTTTGTTTGGTACAGTTTAGATAGTAGAGTATTTTAAAACTGACAAACCGCTGTCAATACTATGTACATTCTATGATGGTCTGAAAAAAGTGTCTTTAGAATATATAATGCATTTTATTACTGTAACATGACAAAATGAGATATATGTAGATTAAGTATTTATTTATTTATTAATTTATTAATTTATTTATTTATTTATTTATTTATTTATTTATTTATTTATTTATTTATTTATTTATTTATTTATTTTATTTATTTATTTATTTTCCTTATCATTTAATTTGATCTATGTTTTATCTTTGAATTATAACACAGTATCTACCAGTGCGAGTCTTATCCGAGACAAAAGACGTGACCTGGTAGTAGTATGCGCATGTCAAGATATATACCAGCCTGTATGCGGTGCCGACGGTGAGACTTACGGAAATCCATGTGAACTCCAATGCGCGTACGTATCCCGTTTGCAGCAATCATGGTGACAAACGTATGATGAAATACGCTAAAATGTATATGATATGTGAAATTTCATTTTTATTTATTGGACTATTTGTCCAACAACACATCAAACCAACGTCAATTAAGAAAGAACCTGTTTGAAAAGAAAACTATGGAAATAGAAAAAAAGTATTGCCATTTTCAGGACGTGAGACGGTTTTTTTTTTTTTTTGTAAATAATAGTAGAAACTCGCAAGCATTTTAGTTATTTACCGCAAGAAGTTTTAGATATCAAAGTTATACCACAATTCTAAAAAAATATTAAAGTATGATTTAGTAAAATATATGTAATCATCAAAATATCACTATAAATATCAATTTTGAAACTCTGAAGCTACGTGTACGAAAATAGAGTTCATATAACAATTTTAAAAGTATGACTTATAGAAATATTTCTTATTTCAGTAACGTAGAGAAAGCATCCGACGGTGAATGCCCGAATGCACGAAAGAAACGCTCAGATGAAGGTTGTGTGTGTAATCTGATACACGAGCCAGTTTGTGGTGAAGATGGCAAGACGTACGGTAATAAATGTATGATGGAATGCGCGTAAGTTGACCATGTTTTCTATGTCTGATTTTATTGTGCTAATAAAGTGTACAATGATGTACCGTCCGGCAGTGAGCTTTCAACTGTTTCTCATTTTAGATTCGATACAACTGTTTTTATTTAAACAGGTACAGTTAACCTTTCTCGTTATGTAACGAAATCCTATCTAGTGACCATTTAAAGACGTAATGAAAATTCTAACACGGTACTTGTTTTACTCCTCTTTTAAGTAAACGCAGAGGAAGGAACGTGTGCTAAATCGCCTGTGAGTGTATGTTTCCCATCAACCTCTCGGGTTAACGGCATTGTGGGTTTATAATTATATACATTTACAAATGTACACAAAACATTTTGTAACAAAAAAGCAGCGACTTCATACTTGTTATTTATCAACTAAACACCCGCACACGAAGAGTTTTAAGATCAGCTCCCAATTAACGTGTCACATTAGCTAATATCTTAACTAATATATACATAATCATTATTCAATTGTTAAATGTTTTAATCTGGTACAAAATTGATATTCTCTTTTTCCAACTGTATAAAATTATTTGCTTAATTGAGTTGCTTGGTACATTTAGAGGCAAAACTCTGAAATATGAGGGAGAGTGCACTAAGGACTGTGCCTGTAACTTTGATTGGTGGCCCGTATGTGGAAAGGATGGTAAAACGTATGGCAACATGTGTGCAATGGAATGCGCGTAAGTTTTATTAATATTTAAATTGAATAATTTTATGAAAGAAAAACGAATTGTTTTATATGCAATAAGTATTGTACGTGTATGCTAAATCATTTTCATATGTAATTATTTACAGTATGTTCGTATGAAATATAATATTTTTTCGGGGATTGGGCGTCTTGTTGTTGTTGTTGTTGTTGTTGATGTGTTGATGATGATGATGATAATAATGATGATGATGATGATGATACTGCTGCTGCTGATTTGATGACAAAAATGATGATGATGGTGATTTTTGTTGCTTTTGTTATGGTATGTTTTTTTCTTTTCGGTGTTGATTTTGTTGTTGTTGTTGTTGTTGTCTTTGTTCTTGTTTATGTTGTTGTTTTCAATGTTCTATATAAGCGAGAGAAGTTTTTGCTTCATTGAAAGTGAATTATTACAGTGATGTAGAAATCGATTTTGAGGGACCATGTGAGAATACCCGTAAAAAACGTTCCGATGATGGCTGTCTATGCACGATGGAAGAAGACCCCGTGTGTGGAAAAGATGGAAACACATATGGTAACAGGTGTATGATGGACTGCGAGTAAGTAAACTTTGAAACCTATGCTTTATTTATTACTAATATGAAGATCATAATTAATTTTAGAGATATTCATTCACCTCAGGTACTTGTAACGTAAACATTTTTAACAAGCTGTGTATTGTCTATTAAATATTAAATTAACTGAAAAACTTGATCACCAAAGTAATCTTTCAAACCGATACATAAATACCTTAAACGAAGTAGTTTCTAGGTCTTTAGCAAAAAGGAAAAAAGCTAACTTTATAGAACTTATAATTAGTATGGCGGATTGTGCACTAAGTTTATTAATTATATATTGTACTTAAATTCTATAGAGACATATTGCGTTTTTATTTATAGACAAATTCTGCTTGTAATAGATGAGACACTGCACTGCTCTCAAGTGCTAGATTAAGGATTCAATATTGAATAGCTAATTTTCCTTTGATTTTTTTTGTAAAGAATGGCTGTTTTATATTTATCAATATTAAATAGTTGTTTTTTCTGTTCAGGGGAGTCGAGATGGAACATAAAGGAAACTGTTGATTCACAGAGGTTTATTCATTTTGGAGTATCATGTGACATAACAGAACTGTGTTTTATCTTTTGAAATGATAATGAAAAATAAACATATATTGAAAACATGACAAAAATGGTTGTGATAATTTAAGAATGATTTTATTCCTTTAACAAAATCAGAAATGTTAACAGGGAAAGAGTCATACAACTGTCAGACTATAGAATATACTTTTTTGAACTTTACGAGTCTTAAAAAATGTATATACATCCAAACAATATCACTTTAATCTGTAATCAATTCTTTTTTAAACGAACAGAATAATTTATAACGTTACTTTTCTAATATATAATGTATCAAATATAGTTTCTTTTTTCATTGTAAAATAAAAATTGACATCAAAATTAACATCTATTGCTGGATAACTTTTGACTAACTTGACACTAAACATATACTTTATGTGCTAACATATCCTTGTTTTTGGTTAAGTGGCATGATTTGAGATTTTTGAAAAAAATATAATCAATATACCTCACATATGTGAATTTTCATGATTGATTAAAAGCTGCATATGCTTACGTAAAAATAAATATTAAGTGTTCTGCTGTATTTTGTGTATATAAATAATGCACAGTCATTATACAATATGCGTAGCTTTTTTCATTTTTTACTTTAACATGGTGAAGTATGCATGCGCGTAACTTTCCACATATTCCACAGTGATTTTGGTTTTCGTTGCTGTCTATATAGCACCCTTTTTAAATAATTGTAAATGTTTTTGAATTGATTTCCTGGGACGCCAGGGAATTAATCAAATTTAAACACTAATTTTTATTAATACATACAGAATGTTCCTATTTCATAATCGTTCTTCAACATTTTATCATATTTTCAAGTCCCTCTATATACAAGAGCTTTAGCCCAGCAAGACACAACTGTATACAACAAATATCAGAAGAAAAAGAACAAACATAATTCTGTCAAAAACCAGAACAACCTGGTACCACTCTGTTCTCACGTTTCCGTGAGATTCAGCTATCAAACTTCTCACGGCAAGGACGTTCACTTGCTTTAAAATCTCCTCAACATCTCTTTCAAGTTTGTTATCACCATGTTTAATATCAGGTGTATTTGGTACAACACTCTGTCTTTCAATGCCTTTAAATGAAATTGTCTCAGTGTCATCTAGTGGATGATAACTGTCCTCTGTCACACATACCAGCTTTTTCAACGTCTTTAAAAATAACTGAAAATATATAAACGAATCTAATATCAATAGTTTGCCAGGTTATAAATGTTATGTTAAAAATGAAAAAGTATACCAAGTTTTCTAAAATATGAATAGTTTGCAAATATGTGTATATTTTCATTTAAAATATGACACGGACGCGTCAGGTTGCACATTTATATAGAAAGGGAGGTAACTCGCATACACTAACGACAATGTAAAAGAAACAAGAGTAACTGTTATCTAATGGATAAAGAAATGTTATTCATTTTTCCTACATTAAAGAGTGGCGTCAAAATATTTCGCATTGTTCTCTTATCCTCTAAATTGGTACACAAATTATTTTAGAAATATAAGACTGTAAAGCAGGAAAATAAGCGTATTAATAATGATAATAATAATAATTCTATGAGGTTGATCTAAAGATAGGTCTTATGATTATAAGAACCAGGCATTGCCGAGTTTTATCAAGATATGAATAATGTAAACATACCTGTCTAACTATTACTGGCACTTTTCGTTTTCTCGGTCCTCTACTTTGTGTGGTTACAGCCCAAATAGATAGAATCATAGAAACTGCAATCCATACCATCGTCAGACAGTAATATTGCACTGTAAAATATTTAATATAGATAAAATATAACTAGTCTTTAATCTTTACTAGTATAATGGCGATATAGTTTAATTCAAAAATTCTAATTACAAGAAATTACTTTGATTTTAATTCAAATTATGGTTAAATTAGATGAAACATGTACATGTATAATAGTTTTGTCTTTTTGTAAATTTTGTTGTATTAGAAATGACAAATAAAAGGCAATGGTTTTCTATTCAGGGGCATCGTTCATAAAAATCTAGGTCCTTAAAAGTATTTTCAATTTGCAATTGTGCCTTTATTTTTTTTCAAACGATGATTTCATGGATGAAAAACCTGTATAATGTCTTACCTAGGTAAGGTAGGGTTGGATGAGCTTCCGGTAAGAAGTTCTGGATCATGGCAATCAAAATGATTATTCCTAAAATCAACGTAGACCCTAAAAAATAAAAATATTTCACACTTTATATCACCACCTCTCACTACCAACTTTTAAGGCATAATGGGCCTTTAACATTTGATTTTCCCAATAATCAACTTATTATTTATAGAGTTATACTTGTATTTTTTTCTAGATCTGCAACTTGTTCCTGGCTCTAGCCGAATCCCCGGTAGGTACACCCCCCTCCCCTCCTATATCCATTGTGATAATTAAACCTTATAGAACTGGCAAGTTATCAGAAGTTACTAACATCAGGTGATCACAAGAAAATGTATTAAATCAAATGATAACCAATAGTAATTTAACAAAAACAAAGCTAACTAAGTGCAATACCCTCTCGCTGGCCATCATTTTTTGTGATTTTTGTAATTTTTTTAGAATAATTTATTTACAAATAGAATGATAATGGTTTTGACAAAACTCGTAAAAAAACATTTATTAATAATGTTTATAAGTTAAGATAAAACTTGACTGTTAACATACCGATTGTTAGTCGTTCCCGGCAGTCTGGCGGTAACAGGAAGTGGAATGGTACTAGAATGGCAATAATTACCGCTGGTAATACAAACACGTGCGTGTAATACACTGTCTTACGCTGAAAAACGTTAAAGGTATAATTTTATTTCCAAAAACAATAAAAAATTAAATATCTAGAAAACTGTGATTCCTCGGAAGCATTAAAATAGCAAAATTACATGAAAACTGCAGACTCGGTTTGATTGAGTCTGTACATGAGGAATAACGCAAAAGTGCAACAGCCCTCACGTCCCCCTAGCACCGACTTGAGCGGTACTCAATTTTCATCACTTAAAAGTGCTGGAATCAATGACAAAATCTTCCAAAATAGTATAAACAACATTTTCATTCGACAACACAATGAGACATGCTGACTGTTGACTCGTTGTTATCAAAGACAACAAATCTAAAATAAACATAATTTCAATACTTGATACGTTCTTCATGTATCTCGCTTTTCAGTGTTATTGTAAAATCAAAAAATCTAGTATGGACGGGTATATGGAAAACAAAATAAATATTTTCAGTGATATACCGATGCTCAGAATTTTGCATTGACTTGTAGATGCATTAGAGTTACATGAAGAGTGATCAGTATTTATTGCAGATTTGGTCTGATTTCAACTAGCATATTGAGCCATTGGTATGTACTCAAACAATGAAGTTTATCAAAATAGAAACTAAGAATCAAACCTTAAGACTGAGGTTAAACTGTATATGCTGGTACGGCTCTGGACAGCAGGCGTATGTTTTAGTGATAACAGTTGCAGGGGACGCTGTAAGTTGCCATTCTTTACTCTCCGAATACTCGGACAAGTCAAAACTTATGTTTTCCTAGAAATAAATAAAATAGAACAATGAATCAAATACAGGCGTAACAAAATTGTGAAATAAATTGTTTCAATAGCAAATAGCCCTAACGTGTTTATCAAATTTTAGTAATAGAGGAAAATATACTCAATGATTCTAAATTGATAAAGGGAGACAATACATATACCCGCTTAAAGACATTCCACACAGAGTTGTCTAATATTGTTACTTACGTGGTACATTGTTAGATTTATTTTATAACCGTCGTATGTATATGAACCAAATTTTATAGAACACGTTTGTTCGTCATATGGAAACTTCATCATATCCATTGTACAACGTGTTCTGATGCGTGCTTTAGGTGAGTAAAATACCTGACCATTATTAAATACTATAGCCAGCGTGTCCATAGTCTCTAGCTGAACCTCTGCACTGAAAATAAAAAAGTTTAAACCATGTTAGTATTATAAAAAATACTATATATAATAATTTTTTGTTCATCTCGTCATCATTTTCCTTGATCCATTTTCTTAATAGAAATCTTAATTTCTTATTATTTCTGATATTTAACCCTTAACTTGCTGAATTTCTTAAATGGACTCTTCCAATTTCTATTTTGGAACAGTCCATTATCAATTTTAGGTATATCAAGATAATAATTTGAACTTGGCCAGTCAATAGTATAGCGCTTTGTCCGATTGTAGAGAACTGCATGCTGGCCTGGCTCTATACTGGTGGCAAAGACAAATAACTTTCGCCTTAAGCAGGGTAAATGTTACTATAATTCGATAACAACAATAAGAATAAAAAAAATCGTTTACCATAACATGATAACATCTTAATGTTATAACATTGTGTACCCTTTTAAGATATAACAAATACATGTTCTAACCAGGAAAATAGTATGAACTCATATCCATAAGTTATGTAGAGTTAAATGTTATTAAACTCTCTTTTTACGGTTCACATGTGAAATACAATAACGGTAACACTTAAACCAGAGAAACAATTATCTACATCACATGTTAAACTCACAAGCCCCCAAAACATTTAGCCTCCTGGCGGTAACAAGTTTTACTTATGAGACAAGTGAAGACCAGTGTGTCTACCATGTCCATGTCGGCTGATGTTCGATATTCATTTGGTACATATTTCATTATATATACAGTACATGTATATAATATGATAGTGATTTCAATATGACAGCAAGTTCATTTAAGATATTTCGCTCGACTGAAGCTGACCTGTTCAAGCAATTTAAGAAACACACCCCGTCAAGTCGACACCCCGTCCATCCGATAATCCTACCTTATTGACCAATAATTACCTAATAAATCACTTTCTTTTACCAATTTTCCCCATAATTATACGCAACTTACTTGTTAAATAACGAGATATCAGGCTGCCACAATTCTTTTACAGGAACGTTGATCACGTGTATACGGTTATAACGAGATGGATCCCAGCTCAACCGGAAGTCAGTCCACAGTTGTTCAATATACACGCTGGTTTCCATAATCTCTTCATGTTCAAACTTTAAAACAAAGTAATATCATCATTATGAAGTTGTTTAGACCCTCTTTCATTACTTGATTGCTGTTACATGAAAGACATGCCTTTCCCGCCAACAAATTAGAATCATATTACAAGATCTCTTATCAAATGTCAAGCAAAAGGCAAGGCAATTACTGAAGGAATAAAATGGTATAACGATCGTCAGTGCAGACAACTTCTCACAAATTTCTCACCAATTGTTTTATTTTTTTTTTCAAAATTCAAATACTCTTTCATATAGACCAGTTTTAGACGTTTGCACATCAAGGGCAATAACTCTATGATTGTAGGCCTTTGCTATGGATATCAATATATAGTTTCGATAAATCGTCGTTGCGCACCATGTGAAATACTCAATATTGAAATCATCCAAATATATAGTCGACTATTGTTTGAAGCTATAAGTGTGAAACATGCTTCAAACGGTGGCACACAGAGTGTATAATTGTGCAACTAATGGCGAGCGTCAGTAAAAGTGGAGTGTGCCCCTCGTTTCCGGTTGATGTAAAAACTTACTTTGTTGAGGTCACAAGTCTTGTTCCATTGACAAACCGCTTAACAATAAATAATGAAATGACTAACGTTCATATGAGTTAACCATTAAAGGTCTAAATGATTGAAGTAAATAAGAACAACTTATAAGTACAATATCACAGCATGATACTGGTGACCCTTGAAGACTTTAACAACATTGCTCCGCCTATGTACTTGATATATCAATGGCATTCACGAGAGCGTTTGTTTGTAAGTAAATGTTAGTTTAAGTTGCGCATTTAAAGGTTACAAAAACTTTAATGTGGTTATGTTATGTATAAGGACTATTTTCAACAGCGCAAGAGCTTTCTTGTAAGATGTCATGCGCCTTCATCTGACTGAAGCAATATTATGATGCTGGCAAGAATAGACATAAGAAATCTGAAAATATAATATCAAAGTGTCAGATTCTAGTTACAGATAATCTATTTTTCAATAAAATGAAAATAATAATCAACTCACGAGGTCAACGAGGTCAATAAGACGTATTCCGATTGAGAGACTAACAGGAATACTGTCGTTTATCTGGGGAAGAATTCTCTTGTCATAGTTACGAAATATATTTTGGAGCAGACGACTTTGAACGCTAACTGTTGTCTCCATGGAACCTGAAACAGATAAAAGAAACACATTTAAATGCGAGAAGGCAGCTTACTAGATTAATAATGATAATAATAATAATAATAATAGTAATAATAATAATAATAACAATAATAAAAATAATAATAACAATAATGATAATAATAATAATAATAAAAAATAATAATAAAAAAATAATAATAAATAATAATAATAATAATAATTATAATAAAGTAATAATAATAATAATGATAATAAAGAATAATAATTATAATAAATAAGGGTACGTTGGTCCAAACATAGACAGGGATTACATGTACAAACTTTGAATTATCCTAATGGCGCAAGCGTTTAAATAAATCATTCATTTTCATTTTTTTGTATTTAAACTTCTTTTAATCTAATTTTTAATTCAATGTTTGAAAATTTATTGACTGCCGACATGTAAAATGTCTTTGGCCATATTTACAAAAAAACATAGCAAATGCCAAAACATGGCAAAGACGTCGACAGACATATATAAAAGCATACAAACATCATATAATGTATTACAATAATTAATATTTCGAACATTTAAGAAACAGTAATATTTTTCAGGCTATTGTTTCCTAACGTAAAAGCATCTTAATACAATTCCTACAAACTAACAATAGATCTGTCGGCTATTCAGATACATCAATTAACCAGGTACAAAAATACCTGCAAAGATGCATAGCTTCAAAGAATATTTGTCATTCAGAAAAGCAAAACTTCGGCAACATTTCAGGAAAAATAAATAAAAACATAAGCAGATAAAAGATAAGTCGCATCTTCATTTTTACCCTGAATGACTTAATTTACTGATAAATTGGCGGAACAAAACATAATGTCAGATGTCAAAACAAGCACGTGCTCCCGCGAGATTACAGTGGCGCCAAATGTCGTCTGCTATCAAAGAAATCACTTCAGATGTGGTTTTCAGAAATAAGAAAAATGTTTGCCTTATCACGCAATACATTTGAAATTGCAGAAGTTCTTTTGTAGTATTTTTATCCGATAGCAAGGGATAGTTCCGCTTAAATCACCTGCAATTTCAAGATAATTTTATGACTTTGAATTTACGGCAATCGCAACAAAATTAATAAGGAGAGGATAGTAATTTTCTTCAGCTACATTAAGAATTCCAAATAAGAAAATTGAACACATTTTTTTTTGGTCGCATATTTAAAAATCTTTATTAGTTTTCTTAAGATAATATCAAGCACGTTTTAAAAACAAAAATATCCATATTACAAAATGAATCGTTTAACCACAGTGCATATGTCTCTAAAGCATACGACTTGCTTAAATCATAATTTTTGTGAATATATGTAGCTGAAAAACGTCCGCAAATACTCGAGACTTGCACTCACATGGTATATATAGGATGTTGATCCTAAAATTATCTCTGTTTATAACAGAAAACTAGCTACATGTATATGCATAATCTGTTCCTAGGACTTGTTTGTAGACTTTAACATTATCATGATTACAGGTTGTTTACTTATTAAATTAAATATAAAAACTATTCATAAAATAAACATGAATATTGTAGATACACATTTATATTTGGACACTCAGCACAAGTTTATGAAGTTATAATCAAAACTGACTTATTCAAAAATCCAGATAATAATTTTGTGCTTTTTTTAGCTCTTCAAATTCAAAGTGATTTGACTTCTGAATGTCGAGGCCTCGTTATATCAATTTGATAACATGTTTAATATAACCAAGACTTTCACAACATATAATTTTTAATATGTTATGTTTCAAAGTTGATATTGTCCCATTTACACAAGTATTTTCCACTGATGAAATGCCGTTTTGCGTTTCTTATGAAGCTTATTAATTCACAAGCCAAAACCTTCTTTATGCTTAATTGCTGGTAACGTTTGTCATTTGTAATTAACCGCAAGGTTTTTATATGATTTACTTTGGATGCAAGTGACACAAAAACAAAACAAAAAATAAATAATTAAAATTAAACAATTTCAGTTGAAAAAAGGGTCTGAGAATATCCTCTTAACGCATACAGTACATCACAGTGCATGTGTAAATCTACTAATAGGAGAAAATGATTATTATAAAATTCTAGATGTATAAACTAAAACATCAAAAAATCTTTTGTCGTAATTCTGATAAAAATTGAGTTATAAACTCCTACGTAGGACTTTTAAACTCCTACGTAGGACTTTAAAACTCCTAATTAGGTTTTTTGTCTCCTACTTAGGAGTTATAAAGTCCTTCGTAGGACTTATAAAGTCCTACGTAGGATTATAAAGTCCTAATTAGGCTTTTTTAACTCTTACGTAGGAGTTATAAAGTCCTACGTAGGATTATAAAGTCCTAATTAGGCTTTTTTTTAACTCTTACGTAGGAGTTATAAAGTCCTACGTAGGATTATAAAGTCCTAATTAGGCTTTTTTATCTCCTACGTATGAGTTTTAAAGACATACGTAGGAGTAATAAAGTCCTACGTAGGAGTTATCTTTTTTATAGAACATGCTAAATTGGCACCCGGACGCTTCCGATAGTGAGAAAGAGGTCTAAATTTTATTGGTTATAAATTTGGTTGGTTTGATTATATTACGTAGATAAAGTCTATCTTTATTAACCTTCTTTATAATTATAATCGGTAAATTTTAAATCTCTATCATCACAGCAGCAATCTGTTATAGCTGGAACCGGTTATTAGTATACGATGTGAAATGTTAACGCAAGTCTTTCAGCTATTAGAATTCTTATTATAATCAGTCGTATTGTTTAAAATCCTCCCAGACAAAAAATAATTAAAAACTCATTAAAAGTTTGGCTGAATTGGTTAAATTAACGTACGATTTCGAGCACTAAGTAACTAGAATACTTCACGCTGACTTAATATTGTGTTTGGGCCATATTTTTCTTGCAAACTAAGTTTGACTCAATATTGCTTAAAATATCTTAAATATGAAAAGTAATCATCGACCGGCATTTGTGTGGCTCCATTACAATTACTAAGTATTTAACAAGATCTGCTTATACATATTTCATAGAATCGCAGCTATAATGGCATTGAAAGCAATACATTATTTTTCTGGTATTCATTCATCCGAATACATCAACTATGTAATTTGATTTTCTTGATTAAGAAGCACCTTTGCGCTCCTGCACATATTTTGGAATCAGACCTGTATTTACATAAGTGCAATGAAAAAATATACTCATAATGGACAAACTTCTTTATTTACTATTAATTTACATTTTGAGAATAAGTAACTGAGTTTTTACCAGTCAAATTACCAGGAAAAATGAACTTTAACTAAATGTGATACCGCATTAGATAATAAATGACCCTATTTTGGATTGCTAGCTTTTTAGTTTATGTTTGTTTTGGTTGAAGGACAAACCGACAAATAACTATTCATACTGATTGAAACATTTTGGTTTGTTAACAAATGTACGAAAAATCATGTTACATAGATCATGTGTCGTCATATTGCATAGATCATGTGCCGTCATGTTACATAGAGCATGTGTCGTCATGTTACATAGATCGTGTGTCGTCATGTTACATAGATCATGTGTCACCATGTTACATAGATCGTGTGTCGTCATGTAACATAGATCGTGTGTCGTCATATTACATATATCATGTGTCGTCATGTTACATAGATCGTGTGTCGTCATGTTACATAGATCATGTGTCGTTATGTTACATAGATCTTGTGTCGTCATATTACGTAGATCATGTGTCGTCATGTTACATAGCTCGTGTGTCGTCATGTTACGTAGATCATGTGTCGTCATGTTACATAGATCGTGTGTCGTCATGTTGCATAGATCGTGTGTCGTCATGTTACATAGATCGTGTGTCGTCATGTTACATAGATCGTGTGTCGTCATGTTACATAGATCGTGTGTCGTCATGTTACATAGATCATGTGTCGTCATGTTACATAGATCGTGTGTCGTCATATTGCATAGATCATGTGTCGTCATCTTACATAGATCGTGTGTCGTCAAGTTTCATAGATCATGTGTCGTAATGTTACATAGATCATGTGTCGTCATGTTACATAGATCATGTGTCGTAATGTTACATAGATCATGTGACGTCATGTTACATAGATCATGTGTCGTCATGTTACATATATCATGTGTCGTCATGTTTCATAGATCATGTGTCGTCATGTTACATAGACCATGTGTCGTCATGTTACATAGATCATGTGTCGTCAGGATGATAAAAAATTCCCAATTCAAACATTGCGGTATTGATTAGTTCTTCTTTGGAAAAGAATACCACTTTTACTATTTAAAAATGTGTAACATATCTGCTTTATCACATCACAATTCCCAGGTACCTGCCATGTTCGCTTCTTGCAATTGTGCTGTAAGGGTTACCCCAGGTCAAAGCTTGCTTATCATAGATTCTTAAGAACTATTCGTTTATGTTTTGAATGCGATACAAAAATAGAAATCCCGGTAGCATGCTTTTATCTTTGTTTATAACGGTGCCGGATCTGTTTCTATGATCTATCATAAAGGTTAATGTAAACAGAATTTCAAGTTGTTTACTGGAGAAACTGTATGTATAACTGTGTGAGGATCATTGTTTCATTAATTCTGTTATAGAACTCTCAACACTAGGCAATGTCAAGATTTTCAATATTAACCTTGTTTTAATTATTTTTGTTGTAAGGATCTCAAAACCAGACAAGGTCAAGATATGAATTATGACCACTCATTTATTCTGTATAAGTACTCCAAGCAGCAAGTCATGTAAAGATTTGCAACATGAACATTGTTTTAGTCATTCTGTTTTATGACCCTCAACACCAGGCAATGTCAAGATTTCTTATATTAAGTAAACATTCTTTCCTTTATTCTGTTTAAGGACTCTCAACACCTGGTAATGTCAAAGTTTAAAACATAAACGTTGTTTCATTATTTTTGTATAAAGAATTTCATCAACACAAGGTAATGTCAAAGTTTGCAATATGATCATTCCTTCATGTATTCTGTTGGAGGA